TGTGACATCCTGCAGCAGGAGAACACGTATGATTTACCTCTGCTGCTGTCACTACAGCCTGCAGAAGGAGACAGAGCAACAGAACATCAGTTTCTTCTCAGCTGTTTTGCTAGCCTTCCTCCAGTGGGCAGAGAAGAGCAGTTTCCAGCAGGAAAGTTGAGAGGGCTGCTTGTGAGAACTTGCAGAAAAATGTAGGAAACAGATCTGATTTTCTGGCTGCTCCATTTTGTAGCTCCTAAGCAAGGCTGGAGAAATATCACAACTCTAATGCTTCTTGTATCCTTGGGCTACCAAGGGAGAGGATGGGCCATGCTGGAAGCCCACTGACCTCCTCAGTAATATCCCAGAGCAACTGATACTGGTGCATGCAAAAGGTGGGAGCTGAACACAGCCCACCTGCCTTTTCCAGCCTCCAGAGAATGAGAAGTTTGCTCACCTTCTGCAACACAGAGGGCAAGCAGAGGCCAGACTGTGCATGTGCCTGCCCTCCTGGGACGTCACTTCTCTTCCCAGTTGCACATTTCCCTTCTTCACTTCATGTAGTCAAGGCAGTTTAATGATTTCATAGACATCAACCAAATGTGTAATTGCAAACAAATCAAAAGGCAGTCACGGGAAGTTGGGAAAATATCAGGAGGACTGTCTTCTCTACCTGAACAATTTCCCCAAAAAAGAGACAAAATTGACTTGATATAATAACTGAAAAAAACCCCAACAAATCTCTGAACAAAACCCCACCAAACAACCCTGTTCCCCCACCCCCAAAAAAAACCCAAACCACCCACACAAGCCACATCAAGTTTTGAGTCTTGCAGCAGCAGCAAAACAGCAGTTGTGCTGAATTGTTTGAAAACAAGGAGTTAGCACTATTGAACTGAGAAGTTGGAATGTGCCATTCTGCCCCTCTCACTGCCCAGACTGGACAGCCTCTCAGGCCACCCTGTGGGCCCCTATCTGATGCAGCCTTTTGTAGTGAACTTAGAAAAGCTGTTTGAAGGTATCAGAATGGGTTCCTGAGTAAGGACAATTAATCCTTATAAAGCAAGGCTTTACAAATCCAGTGAATTCTCGAGGGCCCTTGCTAGCAGCGTGCCCATACTACATGCAGGAGACGCAATGTTAGCACATTCACCAGTGAATTATTTGGTTAATTACTGTTATTATTCCTTGCCAAGATTTTTGGCTGTGCATTTCTGATCATGCATGTTTACAGATCTAATGCTAAACCCCTCCAGTAGACTGCTTTGGTCAAACCTTCCTGTCATGCCCTTGCCTCTGCTCCTGCATCCTGTGCTTGTGTGCGTGCTGTGGCCCAAGAGCTATCCTCAAATAGCTCGAGGGAAGGGAGAACTTCAACTGCATTTTCACTGCAAGTCCTGGAATCCTGGCAAGTGGCAAGAATGTGTCATCACCCAAACATGACAGGCTTCATTTGTAATCTTCTGGCTTATCTGATTTACAAGAGTTAACTACTCTCATCTCATCAACAGCAAGTTCCAGATGTTTCACATAAGAGGAAAGAGTGCATGATGGCAGCTGTACAGTAATCAACTGATAAATTAAGTCTCTCAGTAGTCCCTGAAGGTTTGTGCTTTAATCTGAAGTGTCCCACACTTGTGTAGACACCTATACCCAAAGTAATTCTTTAAAGTAACAGGAGAATTATTTCATGAGTCTGTTGAGGAACACATATTTATGGAGATAGGGAAAAATAGATCACTAGTGGCTGACATAAGGAGAAACAGCAGGGTACTGAGAATAAAAAAATTAAATTAGAGGTGAATTGTAGGAAGCAGTGTATCTGGGACAAGAACATTTCTGCACAAGTAATCTCCCTTCCTTTAAGGAAATACATAGCTCTGATAGGCTGATGGAGCTGGAGATACAACTGCCCAGAAAGGAGGGTGGTGTCCAAACTGTAAAGATGCTCAAACAGAAAGAAAATGGCCTGTAACTTCATGGCAAAAACTCATGGACATGTGTGTCCCACATCAGCTAAGCTTACTAAAGTTCTTGCTCAATTCCTGGAGCAGATACACTAAACCATACACTGTGCTAAACCAAGCACTCAAGTAAAAGGAGGAAAAAACCGAAGAACCAAAACCAAAAAGCACCCCTGCCCCCACCTCCCCCCCCCAAAAAAAAGCAGGGTGAGGGAAAAGTATGTTGGACTGTTTTACCATTCTGTGATTCTATGCTCACTGCTGTGCTTTATTAGCCATTAAACACAAAAGCATCTACAGCTCTTAAGGATTTACCATACTTCCACTCCAGAATTCCATGTAACTTACCTGTGAAACTCAGGATCTCCTTCAGGTGAGTAACAATTCAGTGAGAAACCTGAGTTTTGACTTAAATCTGCACCATCCATCATCAGGACTGGCTGCAGCAGCCCCTCCCCAGCATTCTCACAAAGCTTTGCAGAAACATTTGGCCACAATTTCACTCCATGGACCAAAGTCATATACACTAAAACCACTCCCTTTCAAGGTTTCTCACTTGCCTGAAATATAGATGTGCCAGCCTGCTTAGAGATTGGTGGTTTTGCCTTTTCCAGTATTAGCAAAACATTGTGTCCACATTCCACCTTTTTGATTTGTACATCAGTTCAAGAAGGACTTGGTTGGTGCTTCCCATCCCTCAAACAGATACTCAGATCAGTGTAAGTGAGCACCTCAGGTGCCTGCCAGAATTTTGTCGTTTCACCTCTTGTCCTCACTTTCAGACTTTTCCTGAAGTCATTTGTGCCTGAAAATGGCACAAAAAGCCTCAAGACACTATGACTGGTTCACAGTCAACTAATACTTATAACATTGCTTACAAGATCCAGCCAAGCAGCTGAGGGCTCACACAACCTGTATGACCACAGAAACCTGAGGGCTCACACAGGTGTTCAAACACAGCCAAACCTTTGAGTAAGAATGGAGGCTACAGAATAAAATGGCCCCACCAGCCTGCCCTGGTGAGTGACAGCTTGCCACCAAGCTGCTTTCTTATTTCTTCTGGAGAAAGAAAATCAGGACACCAACTCCCATATCACATTTTCAAAGTATTATTTGGACCAAGGATTCCTTTCAGACTAAATTTGGCAGTGATGGGCACTCTTTTTCAGACTCTGAACAGTAAGTTTTAAAATTATTTATCAGCCACCAAAAAACTGACACTTCTCTGAAGTGTTTTGTCCAAATTTGCCCTGTCTTCCTGCAGCTCAGCAATCTGTCCTACCTCTTAACCCTCTGAATAATTGACATTTTCTCAGATTGCCATAAGTGCAATTTAAGAAAATACTGGATAATGCATTAAGTTTTTTGAAAAGCTCCGTATTTTGAAAGTTTAGGCAAAAAAACAGGTCTTCCAAGAGGAAAACAGATACGGTATACAGTAGAATGCTTAAATGCCTTAACACAGACCAAAAGCCTAAATTCTAGAAAAACATTTAAAATTATCTGAGGCAGTGTTACAAGGGCAAAAACAACTTTTGAACAGCTCTTCTGTAAAATCTGTGATGTATTAAACTTTCTGAATTGTATCACACTGAAGTAGTCCACACTGAAACATTGCAATTGCAAAACAGCTGCAATTATTACAAGGCAAGGCTGCTTGAAAAGCTGTGTATGCAGCAGATTCAGATTCCAGAAGATAGTGACACATTTCACAGACTGCCTTTAGAGCTGGAATTAAAATACTTGAGAAGCTGCCATGAATTGTCAACTAGTCTGTAGAAAAATCCCCAGGAAAATACACCCATCAGTTTCAAACCCACACATACACCACGGTGGTTTCATCTAACTTCTATTAATCTTTTTTAAACAGCAATTGTAAATACATCAGAAAAATCTGGTTTTTTGAATTTGAATTTCAGTAGCAGACAATTGATTCACATTTCTCAAACTAAGTATCTCTATTTGTGTAAAAACTACTGGTGATTTCAGGCAGTGACAATACAGTAGGTGGTCACAAAACCAGAGGTATGAAGACTATTCTAGTTTTAAACATTTGAATCAAGAGTCACACTACAGATCACTGCAGTAATAAAGAGCAAACACTTACCATACTCACCCTTTTCCTCTTTTGAACACAAAGCATGGAAGATTTACCTAAAATCAGCATTTCCTAGTGACTACATGCTGGGAGGGGCACAAGAACAATCCTGTGCTCATCTGAGCAGAGCTGTGTCTGGCAACAGGCAGAGTACAAGTGCTGTGGTTCATCTGGGAAGGGATGTGGAGCACTGCAGTTGTGTGGTAACTTGTGAAGCCTTGATGTGCTAACTTTTGGGATGCTAATAATGACAAGTTACCTTAACCAAGGATATTTTTATTGGGTCCAATATTCAAGCATCATCAGGTTAAGGTCCTATAGAAAAGTAAACTGGTAAGAATAAACTCCCCCAACGTTATGAATGGCAATTCGTACATACATGAAGTTTAATTTTAAATAAAATGTTACCAGCCAAATTGTGTTATGAATCTAAAACTATCAAACAAGGTTTGAACAAAATACTCCATTTCCAAAAAAAGGCAAATATAGGTTTAATGCCAGTCATCCAAAATTGACATTAGTCTTTTAATATAAGGCAAAAATAGTAATTTTCTTTTATTTTTTAACCTACATTAAGTACAGTCAGCAATAGTTGCTCTACAAAATATGCATCATTGAGATCTAAAAGCAAGATCAGCAGAGAATGCTGACTCATGCCTTCTAAGATCTTCTCAACATAGTGACAACTCCATGGCAATCTCTGGGTTAAGGACTGGATCAATGCTGCCGAGAGCTTTTGTTAAATGGGTGTATAATTTAGTTCCCATGAGCCACAATCACATGTCCATGTTAAAGCCATTTAGCACAAATAATAATTCTTGCAGATCTAAATGTGTGTCAATATAGATTAAACCATAGAAAATGCCAGAAAATACTCTATGCAATCTTTAAGCATCTGTCTCCAATATAATCGTATTTACATATTTTTATGAACTTCTAATATGTAATAAGTCAATGAAGACATTTTTACAACGTTTATTGGATTATGAATTTATAAATTCAAGGACTCAGAGGCACATAGTTTGAAAGGCCAAGAACACCAAAACTAATTAAGTCACAGAAATCAGAATATTTATGGACGTAACACCAGTAAAAAATAAAAATCACATCCAGACTAAAAGCAACACCTCTTAAAGAGTCATCCTTCAAAGTTAGCATAATAAAAAGTTCTCATTTCCCTCAAAGAAAAATAAATCATCCCACCTACCAAGCTAGAAAAACCTATTTACAGTTGTACTTTGATCAGAAGTATCATTAAGTTGTGTAATACAGCCACTTCTATTCTGCCATTAGAATTTAACATTTCTTTCAAAGTATAGTTGTATTTACAAATGCATAAATATTGTAACTCTGATCTTCATTAAGATTTGAATGAAAACAGCTTGTTAAGTCACAATACAAACGTGTTAGTGGAAAAGTAGGTGCATTTCAGTATCATTCTCAAAGAACAGGTAGCCAATACTTCTGATAAAGCTCAAGTTCATCAACGAGACCAGGTTTTTAAGTTAGGTTAATGAAGATTAAGCCTCTTCTGTGTTAACTCTTTACATCGGTTTCTTCAGTCGACTTTCACCACGCTGTATATTTTGGTTACAAACCAAAAGCATGCAAAGAATCCAATTGTCCCTAAAAGAGAGAAAAAAGAAAATTACATATTAGAACACTGACACAGGAGACATTAATTTCTGTCCATAGTTTATAAGTCAGGATGTATGTATCTGTGATCTGCTGTCCTTAGCCTTCAGTACATCAATTACATCAGATAATGGAAAGTTACAGACAGTACTCGGACCTTACAGGCATCAACTACTCTGTAACCTCTCATAATTTTCAGGAGCACAGAACAGATCATGTGGAACACTCTAGTACTAAGATGTTTCTGTTTACTTTTTTGTTCTTGTTCCAGTATGCTGCAGTCCCACTCCTTCACACTGCTCCATTTCACCCTTTCTCAGTGACTACTCACACACACTTTATCTCATCTGCTCAGCTGTCAGAACATTATTATGTTTAATAAACATAATAACATCATCAGAGTTCCCATTACTTAGCAATACTTTAAGGTCTTGGAAAACTAGAGCACCACCTTTATTTCTCCATAGACTGAGTTAATACAAATTTCAAACCATAGTGTAGTTACTACACAACCTATAGTCCTACTGAAAACATGTATTACATACCTTAAAAATAAACACTTCCAAAATACTTAAGACAGTCAAAATGTACACACAGATTTGAACTAAAATTGGAGGATGAAAATAATTTCCCTTATTATTTATTATCCTTCTAGCAGAAAAAAAACAGTGGCTTCATCCCTTCTTTTTGTGTAACTCTTAACAAAAATATTATTTTGAATGTGAAATAGTTAATATAGTTGGGAATTGTTAATTTAACTGGATTACATCAAAATTCAGTCTCAATCAGAATGATACTGGGTTAAACAGCAGCTCAGAACACCTGTTACAGGAACCTTAATTTCCCACAAAAACTAGGACAGGAAAAAAGCCCTGAAGATTATCTGATTTCTGCCTAAATACCTCTTCTAGAATTCTATCCTGAACTTATACAAGCATCAAAGTAGTTCTTCAGAGGAAAAAAACTTCCTTTGTTTTAGATTTAGTAAGAGGGGCAACAAAAGTTGGGTGGTAACTTGTTGTCTATCAAAGCTTGAAAGGAACCATGAATGATATCATGGTCATTTTTTTTCACTTTACGCTTGCTAAACTACTGATGTTGAAGTGATTCATTTACTGTGATACGTAGTTGTGAGCCCAGCTGTGAATCAAAGATTTGTCATGTAGCTCCCGGTATTGTGCCTGCTGAGTCTGATCAATGACCTGGAATGCAGTATGGATGCAAGTGCCTGAAGCATGTGTTACACTGACATAGCAGCAGGGCATCGTCAGAACCCTTCCTCCCCATCCTGACAATTCTTCACAGATGAGTAAGCAGCAGCAGAATAGTTTTCATACAACAATTATGACTTTTTCTTTTTAGCTTTTTTATCATCCTGACATGGGAAGTCAGTTGCCTTTGGGAGCAGTTTTTGCTTAATTGCTAATATGTTCTTTTGTTTAAAAAAAAAAAAAAGGAGAACAGTCTGTACCTTTACCCTACCTCTGATTTCTTCTGCAAATCCTTATCTCAGAGCATTTCAATAAATCTCAGAGAATGAACATAACCTGCTTTTACATTCATATCAACCTAAATGGACATAATTCTTCTCAAATCTTAAGAAACAGGATTATTTCCCCAAATTAAAGGATAATTTGTACTTAATCTTGAGGGAATTAGATAAAAAATTGTTAAGCACAGTGTTTTACAATTCTGTGTAATTAATTGCCTCAAGTGTAACCTCCCCTGATTTCAACATAGAAATTGAAAATTTAAAAAACCAAGAGCATACAGACTGAAAACTGAGTTCTAGTTGCACAGGATGACTTGCATTTCCACTGTCCCAATTACCAACAAATGACTAAGCAGCTGAAAGGGGCTGAGAATAAACCACCTCATCTTCGCATGCTTATGAACCTACCCTAAAAATTTGCTGGCAGGTGTTGCACAGCCACTTGGTCAACTGAAAGTGAACACGTGAGCAAAGGAAAAAAGGGGATGCAGTGGACACATCTTAATGCCTCTAGACAATGCCATGTGACATGAGTGACTCAAAAGAATAAAGGCAAAAAATGGAAATTATACGGGTATCTGAGATGCAAAAGGCAGCTAAACCATGTCTCAGCATAGAAAATTATTGTAAATCCCCTTTATCTTGAATGAATCTGCTCCAGAATTAGTGCACACATCCAAAGTGAACAAAGGAGACAAGGTAAACACAATTCTGGTTTTGGGCAAAACTGTTTTACTATTACAGGCAGACTTGCTGAACATCTGTTGGAAAAGCTGGTGAAACTAAATTAATTGACTTTACACTTATGTAAGGCCTTACTATTTTTCATACTACTTTGCAAGTCTGCACTGCATTTAAAGCTGATCTGCATACAGCAGTACACATTCATTTCCAGCTGAACAACCACACATCCTAGGATTTTTTAGTTCAATGAAACTATCAGTACACCTGGATCAGAAGTAAAGGTTAAGAGAAAAGCAAGGTGAGAAAGAAGAAAACCTGAGCAAGGGAGGCAGAATCTCTGATCTGTGCATTCAGAATGACTTGCAAACTGGTACAGAAATGTGAATAAAAGCAGAGAAGCATAAATTACAAACTATCTGCAAGCAATGCCAAAATACATTGGATCGACTTAAAACAAAGGATGGAAGATAAAACTGACAACTTTTGGGACACAGCCTGATCACTTTTCAGTGAGATTATATAATGCACTCAAGTCCCATTTCTTCCTTTTAAACAGGCAATGACCCAAGAAAATCCTTGCAGGCCATTGCTCCCATTCATCATCATCCGCATCCAGTCTACAAACAGCTTCAATATTTTCTTAGCTGAAGTGGACATGTCTTTGAAATATTCAGTTATACTTAAAATGAACATCATTCTTAGTTCTTTTTTCTTTCACTATTTTTGTTCTCCTAGGTTAAGTGGAAATGAAAATTCTACTTAAAAGTCATAGTGAGATTTGCATTAAAAGCTCTGATGACAAGCCATTTGTAGTCTATGAGGCCTCAAAAGATAGTGTCTACACACAGATACATATCCAAGACTTTGGAATCATTAAAAGTCATCATCAACATGAAGCCTGAAATTATTTAAACCATTGATCAGTTCAAAGTAGTTTCAGAAGTACTGCTCTGTAGAGCAGAGTATACAAGGATGGATTGCATTCTGCTGCAGCAGAACACAGAATTTTTAAGATCTTTTTGAGGAATTTGCAGTTGCTGCCTTCTTGCATCAGTTTGAAAGGAGACTTCTTGCATTTTCACTGCCATTTTCCCACCCTAAACAAGGGCTATTTCTGTCTGACTGAAGACTACAATGGAAAATTTTGTGACCTCATCTCAATTACTGAAGAGGAAATTGAAATGCAGCACCTAAGGTCAGATGTATTTTCCAAACGCTCACAATGAAGATTACAAGGTTCAGACAAGACTGATAAAAAAAAAGTTAGAGAAATTCTGTCTGCTTCCCATGCCACTTCAATGCAATTGGGATACAGGTAAATACATTCTGGAAGAGAGTAAATTTAAAAAACAAGGCATTCTTTGTCTACCTTTACCCCTCTCTCTTCCTTCCAGCTATTCCAAAAAACCTGCTGTTTTTATCTTGACACTGTAACTTTATACTTGATTGTGTGTGATTTGAAGTGTGCTTCTCCAAAGACAACTTATTTTTAAAAACTGAGTTTGTCATATGACTATCACAAAAATAAAATCTGGAAAAGTATTTATCACTTATTTGTAGACCTAATGATAGGCCACACTTTAAGTTAGCAGTAGTTTTGCCTCATCCTCACTTATCTCTTTTATTAAAGTTTGTAAGCACATAGTTGCAATATGCTACACCTGGGAAAAAAATCAAAGGCATACATAAATTTATAATTCTGTATCAAGATCAGTTTTGCCAAGGATTCTACTGTGCAAAACTAAAGGCAGATTCACAATTTAAAATTCAGGTTCAATACACTTACCTGTGAAAAGGAAAAAGATCAAAACCATAATCATGGTATAACCAAAGTATAAAATGGTGCTAGCTGTTCCTGTGATTTGCAGTTTAGAAAAGAAATAATGTATTGCATATATTAGGAAATAAACTGCAGTGAAGCCGCTAGTGAGAAATGAACGCCACTGCCAGTGATAGTCCTAGAGTGAGAGAAAATACAAATGTGTGAGAAATATTGTGCACACCTCCAGCCCACTGATCCTACCAAGGAATGCAGAGCTACCTTCTCTATTATGACTTTATCCAAAAGTAAGTTTTTGCAGGGTTTTTTTATCTAGAGGGAGAAGAACTATATATAACCAATACTGCTTTAATTACACCATTCAAAACTAGAGATAAGTACCCTAAAGATCAATAGCAAATACACAAAATACTAAAATCCCAAATAAGCCAGGTGTACTTATTTCCAACCACAGAAATTTTTTTCCCAAGGCTGGGCATGTCCAAAATGTACTCTGATTGAACAAAATTAATGGATTAATTTAGCACCTTCAGAAAACAGGGAGTGAGAATCTAAAGATGTGACATCTGACTCAGCAACACCCAGTGCAAGGTTTTAATATTTCTTACAAGAGTTGCCAAAAGTAGCCTGATTCACTTTTTAAAGACATAGTTTAAGTACTCATCTAGCACTAGTGTTCATGTTGAATTCTGGAATACTTATTTTTAATTACAAAGGCATGAACATTTTTGAAGGCATTCTTAGAACATTATCAGGTTTGAAAACAGAGGAAATATTTCCTACCTCTGCACATAGATGGAAGTAGCAGAGCAATATTGTAGCCTCAGAACATGTAATAACCAAAATAATGAATACCAGAAACAGGAAGCCAAACATGTAATACATCTGGTGGGACCTATAAAAGGGAGTTAAAAAAAATTTTAAATGGCCATTGTGCTATTATTATTTCTTCACAGGTAGTAACATTACCTTCACCTTAAGTATTTTCGCTTCCTATTGAAAAACTGTCAATTGTGCAGCCATACAATTGACTAATTTATTTTCTAACTAAAGAATAGGAACCTTGGCAGCTTGGTCTGAGAACACTAAGAAAGCAAGGCCAAAGCATGCCCCTGGTTGAAATTTTAGAGAAAGAAATGACTAAACATAATGGTGAAATCACAGTTCCAGTGAAGTCAGCATGACCTCTTCCACTGACTTCAGAAGAACCTAGATTTCACCTCACATTTCAATCAAAGGGGCAAAGCTCCAAAATAACAAGAAATGTCAAATGCTGTAGCTGTCTGTGTTGGGTAGAGGCACCTATTCAAGGTTCAGAAACAGTTTAACAAGATCCAATAACTAAATTGTGCCAGAAGGAAGACAAATTCCTCACAGTAGATTAGTTTGTCAGTGAGCTCACATCAAAATTCACTTATACTGCACTAGTCTGTGGGGCTTTCTTTTTAAAAATCATTACTCTTCTTTAATAAAGATTTCACAAGAATTTGTTCTTGGTTTTTTTTTTTCCTCCCAAGAGTAGTAATACTTGTCTAGCCTAATAACAACTACCAAACAAATCTCAAGTTTATTTTAATAAACTTTACTACTGTCAAGTTATATGCTATATATCAGCTTCAGAGCCACTTCCACATGAAGTCACAAGAGTAGCATGAGAAAACAACAAACTATCTGAAGGTAGGTCAGCTGTAAATTGCTAAGCATATCACAGCCACCTCTCTGCACACCCCAACAAGCACAACAGGCACCAAGTATCATTAAAACATAAAAAAGATATTAACATTTAAATAGTATTAAACCAGTATGGTAACAATGCATCCCCAAATAATCCGGGAAAGCATCGTGAAGAAAACTTTCACAAAAAAATAATCACTTTTTTATGACAGAAAATTCAATTTATGGTGAACTTACCAAATACTATTGAGAATGAAGAACAACTGTATAAAGATACATCCAAAAGGAAGAATCCCTCCCATGATAATACCAGGTAATGGCTTTGTATAGAACGATTGCTCAGGAATCTGACGTGGAATTTGATTTGTGCGAACAGGGTGTTCAATAGCCTTTAAACAAAAATAACAAACAGCTAAATAAATGAAGTATCACACCTTTTTGCTTTCTTTTTGTAATGACTGGTGGCACAAAGTCTACTCTTTATTTTGAGCATGTACATACCCAGCTACACTACATTTGCTTTTGCTCCAGCTCAGTTACCAACACTTGCTTGGCAAACTTGCTAAAATACAGCTCTTACTGAAAACATAGTGACAGATATTTTGGACTTCCATTTCAATGTTTGCCTATCTATCATCTGTTACAGAGCCTGAGCTGATTTACCATATTTCAGCTGGGGTAGTGGTGGTGCAGATTCTTGCTTTCACCTTCTAAAAATTCCTGTGTGTTGTCTTTCAGGATTTACTTAAAAATTGCACTAGGATAAACTTACTGAAAGGACTCCATCTGGCAATTTAATCCTAATTCAAGACACATGCATGGATCAGCATGGTGAGAGAAAACAATGTAAAGCACTATAAGATACATGCATATTCTGTATCTTTTGGCTTTCATAACAATTACATCAAAAGCATCAACAGATACTTCCTTTCTGATTTGATTTTCAAGTTTTTGTGACACCTACCACATTGCCTGATTAGCTTATCAAATCTTCCTTCCTTAAAAGAAGATGTACACACCTGTACAATGCAGGGGAACTTAATGGAATTTCAACATGGTTATCAGAAAAAGCCCACTGAATTAAAAAGTGCCTACTAAAACAATATTCTCTGAAGGTATTACAAGAGATCTACAGAGAGACAGAATCCTGGCTTCCTATGCAGGAGAAAACCCACAAATCTATCTGCACTTATAGAAATTTATTTGTGGGGGACAGTAACCAGTTTTTTAAGAAAAAAGAAGAAAAAAAGAACCAATCTCATTATTTAATGATTTGGTCACCAAATTATTAAATGTTTGGTCACAGAGAGCTGTCATAAAAATATGTAAAATTGATTGGTTTAGGAGTACATCACAATTAATGTCTGCCAAGCAGAGATAACCATTTACAGAACACTTATGCAAACAGATTTCACAGAACTCTAGCAATTTGATCAGGGAACATCCTCAGTGTAAAGGGCAGACAGGAACAAGAAATACATAACAAAACCCAGAAATGCAGAATTTGCTTTCCCTCATGCTTGCTGGGTCAAGTACTTGTTTTAGTATATGAAAGAGATGCTAATTAAAATAAAAATGCTCAAATCACTGATTTATCTGTAGCAGTCACACAATTAAATAGAATGACAACCCAATTTGCTGCAGAGAAGTATCACTGTCACCAACCATTTGTCACAGCCTTGGAATACCAAGACTGGTTCTCTAAGGCAGTTCTAAAGCAACTGAACTGGAGCCAACAGTGCAACTAGCTAAGGTGCTACCTCAGTCATGGCCTATACAGAGAAAAATATTTGTGTGTGTTTATGTATGTATACCCTTAAAAAAACAAATTTTCAGAAACACTTACGTTTTTCTTAAACCCAAAATAGGCACCAATAAATGTCAGTGGTACAGATATGCAAAACCAGAGTGCCAAAATAGCAACCAAGGTACCGAACGGAATAGCTGCTGAAGAGCCTTCTCCCCAGAGAATGAGGTTCATGATAAAAAAATCCGCAAATACAATTCTGAAAAACACAGAGCACACTTAGAGCACAGAAATACTTCTGAACATTCAGTAACCTCGACAAAACAATGGCACTGCTTTGAGATTTTAGCACGAATCTCTGCTAAAACCAAATGACACTCACAAAATATGAAAACAAAGAGATCAGACAAGCAATTCTTTGTTAATCTAGTGGGACTGAACTCCAGCAGGCACTGACGTTCCAACTAAGCTATTTCAAATATATGCTTGTCTTAACTACACTTCAGGGTAAGACTGCTTGCTGTGATTAAGTGGAAAAAATTATCAGAGTGGTTATACATTACATGACACTATGTAAGACTGACTACAGTGAGGTCAGAATAGTGCAGTCCAGAGAATGAAAGAAAACAATGAAAAAGTGGGCCTCAAACTTACTACTATCATAATGCCTTTTCCTAATCAACCTTTTCATGTGGTGAGAGTAAACAAACGCTTACCAAAAAAAAAAAAAAATCTAAGGATGATATGCCACTAACATACCCATCTTTGTCAAAAGCACCATGATACTCTTGGAGCTCCCAGAATAAAGGGACAATGTAAGATTTACCTGTATGGCTGAAACCTAAAAAATTAGCTATGCACATCAGAGAAGCAATTTAATTCTCCTAATCATGACAATATTCTCAACTTACCCAGGACAAAGGAATGATGTCAGCAGGACATTTGTTTTCCATTTCTCACCTCCAAATGCTGTATATTAAAACATTTGACAGACATTAAAACATGTATTAAGCTCAACTATTAATTTTCCAGTCCATTTACCTGTTATACTTAACTTACAAATACTCAAATCATGTGTTATCATGCCCAAAACCAGTAAACTAAATATTCAGTAATAAAATTGGATTTCCTTATCCTATTGCTTAACCACAGAACTTCAAAGCAAAACGTCTCAGACCAAGGTCAGGAAAGGTATCCAACTAAAACTGTGTTTCTGATGACTTTATCTACCCAAAAGAGGGAGCAGATTTGCAGTATTTCTAAATCTTTAAAAGATGTTTTAAACCTGGAGTGATTAAGAAATTTAAGCTTTCCAGCATTTGACTGCAGGTTTCAGTAGGTAAAGATACATAAATATGTGAAAACCAAGCTTAACAGTTTTCTTGAAATAATTCTTGCCAATGAATCTTACAGAAGAGTCAGAACTAACACGCTTACAGAAGAAGGGATGTTTTCTTGAGTCTTAGCAGCATTAAGCAGTGGTGATAACAAAAGACCAAAGATAGTTTTTTTTAAGAAAATCTTTATGAATTTGCACTATGCTGATAAAAATTCTAGTCAGTATACTTTCAAATGAAAATATCCTGCTGGAGTGCAGTGAAGCAGATAATTTCATCTGAGCACTGCCATAATGACATGCTTCTTTATTTCAAGAGTCAGAAGTGATTATGGTTAGAGTGATTTTAATTAAGTTCCAATTTCTTCATAAAAACTTGGTAGAATGTGACAGCAGTTATTAAGATTAACCATTTCATTTCAACTCATGTTTCACTTTCTAAATGCAGTTTTGAAAAAAAAAACCCAACTTTTAAAATTGGATATCCATTTCAGTTGCATTTTGTTTTATAGGTCACATTATTTGTATACTATTAAAAAAATCCCATTCATGCTTACATGCTCTAATACAGGGTATAAACCACTTCCTGTTATAACAACAAAAATATCTCTGGATCAGTCATTCACTATCTTAGTAATTAAACACAACATTCAAGTATCAACTAAGTGATTACCAATAAATAAAATATTACATTTTATCCTTAAAAACTACATTTCCACCAAAGACAAAGAGATAGCTACCAATTTACCACTAATACACTTCAAAATATCCTTCAAAACACACAGTATACACCACAATATCAAGAATAATTCTATCCTCAATTATGCTCTTAGTAGTAAAATTTCCTTCTGTTTAAGTCTTAACTAGCTTGGATATTAGGAATACTTCATTTTCATGTCACCACCACTATGCAGAAAACTCCCTACAAGATACAAATTCACTTTTCCCACTGGTTTTCCCCACATGAAAACTACAAAATGGTAAGAAAGAAGACCTCCAGTATCTACTGCCAGGCTGAAGTTCTGAAATAAACTTCTCCTGTAGCCCCATATATTCACAACTAAAGTAGTTCAAAAGATCCGTTTCTCTCAAGTCAAAAATCCTTTCACCTTGAGTAAGGTAATTAAAACAAGCTGTATGTGGAATGCCATGCTTCACTTTAAAATAAATCAGAGGATACAGCGGTAAACCAACCATCTGAGGCTGGCAGACAGACAGGTCTTGAAACAATAGCTGGGATCAGTGAGGGAGCACAGTATCAACTAACTCCTGTCAGGGGCCCAGACACCACAGGGCTGACTTCTACAGCTACAGAACAGTCCTTCTCCCCGTGCTCCAGACAGTCCAATAAGCATTATTCTCCAAAATAATTGGATCACCAGTCTCAGGCATGCAAGAACTGAGGTTCACAATTTAGGGGTGCAGGTGTGTGTTACCAAGCAACATCCACAGCTAAAACTCAATGCAGGTTTACACAATGCCCACAGTGACAGGAAACAGAAGCAGAAAACAGTCTGATGTGAAGATGTAATGACCCTAGTACTACTATAATTTAATTTCACAAATACACAGCAGCAAGAGCAATTCAGGGTCTTTAGGTATGATTACATCAAAACCAGTGTAACTATGTCAAGTGCTCTATATATATATATATATATTCTGTTGTTAAGGTAAGTACATTTCCCCACGTTGCCCTGAGGGAAGCTACAAACAGTGCGGCAAAATAAAAATCAGTTCTGTAATGATAATTTATGTTAATGAACTTAAGCCTTGTCATTTTCAGTAACTATTACTCACATTTGTAGAATCTGGCAGCAACATAACCGGCTGGAGTTCCAAGCAGCACCCACAGAACTACAGCACAGGTCATCAGAGCTCCCCTGTTAGCAGGTGACAAAAATCCCAGGCAAGCAAAAACTGTGAAGCAGAGATGCAGAATTTCAGAAATGATGTTAGAAACCTTAGACTATATGTTTGACTTAAAGCCAGTACATCAGCTGTCTTACAATCTGTGTGTACTAAGTTGCATGTCTACTACATCAGCTCAGCTGTTTCTAATGACTTTAATGAAATATCTAGACAAAATGATACTGCTATTTTTACTAGCACCATGCAGTGAAAAATCATGTACAATCAACTAAATCCTCCCCACTTTACTTACACAGGGTAACAAAAGTCATTATTAAGATTTGTGTGCCAGAGCCTAGAAAAACTGACAACAGCATTCCTTTTCTCGGGGGCCTGAAAATATCACCATGAACCAGTTTCCAGCCAAATTCTTCTTGAGCGTCTTCCTGTAAAAGAAATACATCTATTTGAATACAGTAGATTGCAACTCAAATAGCCTGTTACAGCTACACATTTAACTGGAAAAATTACATTCCAAATAAATTTTAGGAACTACATTTTAGGCTTACAGTGGAATCCATTTGATTGTATCTTGCAATATCTTTATGGAGTGTCCTCAACATAATCATAGCTACCATTCCAGACAGAAAGAGGACAATCACCAGGGAATTCATAATACTGAAAAGAAAAAAAAAAAGAGAAAATTAATGAAAATCATCATTCAAACTGCAATGTAAACACTTCAGTACAATAAATTTCCTCCTTACCTAAACCACTGGATGTGAGTGTGAGGCATGGATTCCAAAATATAATCCCATCTTGATGCCCACCTGATATTTTTTTCTTCCTGAAAGAGTAAACACATGAACATCAGATACAGTCAGTATCCAATTAGTACATTTGAAAGCTGATGTTTGTGCAAATCAATCTTAAATCTTGTGACTAACTCAAATTTCAAGTTCCATGCTTTACAGGGAATACTTCAATAACAGCTACCTAGAGCAAACCTAAGATTTGACCATAGAATCTAAACCAAAATATTTTCTGAATTTGAACACTTGTGTCTTTTCAAGACATTAAGGCTTATCAAATTAATTTAATTGTGCACCCTCCCTTCAAGAACTGGAATGGAATAGCAGAATAATGAAAGAACATAGATTTTTTAGCACATTAAGTCCATATAGCAAGAAACTAAGCTATGCTATACAGTCTCCAGATGATACTTCACTCACTACATCATGCTCTGTCTAAATTATCCTTTGCTTTCATCCAACCTTATTTCAGTACCAAATACCAATCCCATTACGAACAGCTTTTACTGCAGGACAGGTGGGGAGACAGAACTTAGCAGAGGGAAGCAAATTATTCCTCCAGGCATTTCAACAGATTAAACTTATTCAAAATGAACATTCATTGATCAAAAACACTTCAAAAAGAACATTTCTTTGTTTTATTTTGCAGAGTAAACAGGAAAAAAGGAATAGACAGTGTTAATCAAGGTGAAGGCGGCTATTAAACAAGCCAACTAACAAAACTGGCTAGGTGTCTGGCAGGCTGTTATTTCAGTAATTTCTAATTTACAAGAACAAGAGTACTTTCCAGTAAAGCCAGATTTTGAAAAAAATCCAGTGGGTTAAAAAATGTAGTCAAGATCACATACACAGGTCACTGAGATAACAAAACCATGTCTCAAAGGAAGCAACAAATTTCTAAACCAGTATCAATGACTCTAGGACAGAACTGCATTTTTCCTCATACCTAAACTGCCTTTTTTTTCTCTTCCTGAGATGACCTGGTCTGCCAACCCAATAGAAATTCAGAAGATTACCTCCAATTGATGTAACACTGTGCACAAGACAGGTGCACACACACAGCTGGGCATGCCATTTTTAAGGACAAACAATAAAATAATATGAAGCTGAGGTCACTCTTGACTACTGACTTCTCACAAGTTTCCAGAAATACTTGCTTTTCGGTATACAAATTCATCTCAGCACCACAACTGATATAATTTCTCAAAATATCATTATATAGTATATACATAATATAATCCCTCCTACTTCTTATACTGTTAATTGTATTTTGAACTCAGAGTGGAAACAGTTTGAGAAGGAGTAGGGAACTTTGATACACAGTTTGTCCAGCAAACTCCATCTACAGAAAACCAAAACAAAATCAAAACCTCCCTCTCTTGTCAGCAGAATGAAAAACATTCAGCTATCACTGCTGCCTGCAGTTGCCCAATATACTGCTCCTCTGCTTTTAAGTAGAGAGTAGTAGAACAAAGACTGCCAGCTTCCTACTCTTTTGAAGGATTCCAGGGGAGGAAGACCTTAAAGAGAAGGCAGCTTTTGCAGCAGGAGGGCAGAAAACTATCAGCTTCAACCTACCTACACGAAACACAATTTCTCAGACTTAAGAACTTGGATTGAAAAATAATCTACCAGACAATCTAGGCAGATGTGGAAAGTGTGACTCTTAAAAACCACTTATGTGTTTCACATCTACTCTCTATGTGTTGGTATGCAAAACTGTAAGCTATGTGGTTAAATCCCAAGCCACCTCTGACATTCCAGTTCAAATAAAGTTTTAAAACTACAAATTTATTATTCTGAGCCAATTTTAATTGCCCATCTTTATAATTCAGAGTACTAATGCATGATTTTAAGAGGTAACCACCACAGAGATCTTAGTACTCACATGAAAAGTAACTGAGTATGTGTAAGCAATTTTGACTTCTCCACTGGCCTTATTACTTATATCCATGGGCACTCCTGAGCAGTCGGGGTTGTCTGGGTGAGTATGCTTGTAACTGCAGGGAGACAAGACACACAATGAAAGCCACTTCACTGACAACATTCTTAAGAAAGAATTCATTCATCTTAGAAAAGCATACCAAGGATTCTTCCCTTCAATATAAGAACTGTAATTAATGTCTCATAAATTTCAGGACTCATAAGGAACATATCCTAAGCTCAGGAATTTCTGAAACTTGAACTTCTTAAACAAGATTTGTCTCTTCTAAAAAGAGCACAGTCTCTAAAGCAGAGTACCAAAAATGAAAGAAGCCTTAGTATTGCTATGAACTTCCAAAACATTTTAAAAGTTACACCACCAGAATTACTAACTTCTCTCAGGAAAAAATACTTTCAACTGAACCAACAATGCTACAAGCTCAGTTATACCATGAAAGACAAGATGCTAAGAAATAACACAACAGACACCAATAGTGCAAAAGCCACATAGACACCAGGACAACTGATGAGTGTAGCTGTGAAATCTTTCTATACAAATCCTGATTGTTGAACAGATCAAATCTTGCACTCCAGTCAAGCCTGCAGCAGGCACTGGTGTCCTGTTCTGATACAAGACAGAATATTCCCTGGTAGAGAAATACATGCATGCACACACACACTCATCACACCCCACAAACACTTACAGGTTTTATTTTATCTTTTCTTGGTCCAAGTAGAAGAAAGTGCACCAAGGTCCATCAAATTACAAAATTACATTAGACTGTCCTAACTACACTACATCAATCAACAGGAGAGGTAATCTGCAGGTCACATATCTGAAAGCATTTCTGACTAGCAGCAGGTTCCCAGATCAAAGCAAGTGTCCTGGGATGGATGACTTTTTGATGACAAGTTACTTTCAACTACTAACCTTTTTGGTTCAAGTTTAGCAGCAACCAGTCTTGCTCCCAGAGCTTCATTCTCCACAACATGGTAATAAATTTTTATGTCAACATGGTTGAAAATATAAAAGGTATCCTTTTCATGAAATTCTGACTGCAATGAAAAAAGGTTATATTAAACAATCAAAAAATATAGACATCACAAAGTGACAGAAGTCTGCATAACAGAATTTTAGACTGCATATAGTTTTTCTGTCAAGAAGTTCTAAAATATGAATGTGAGATACTGGAAATTATAAAGACAGTAAGTGCCTTCTTGCATTAAAAACATAAGTTAGAAAAGTTAAGGCTAAGAACAGTCTAGTAAAGTTGAAAAGAAGAAAAGTTAATTTAAAATATTTAATATATATTTATTAATAAATTTAACTGAAGATTTCCTATTTTATTTAAGTAGCAACCTGAATAGATAACTAAGGGACAAGTTTTGTTATTAGAAGCATTTCACAAGCATCAGCTATTTTAAAACAAAGAGTCTATTTTTCAGAAATTAAACAGAACCTCCCAAGACGATGCAAATAAATGCTCTCTGTGGCAGAATCACCTTTGAAACCAAAGATGCACAGGGATGAAGAGCAAGCAGCAGCTAAGAATGCTGAATGCAAACCTCAGGTGAAGGGAAATTGGAATTTAGTTAGCTTAAGAGGTTGTTAAACTCACAAGTAATTTAACAGCTATGTCTGATGAAGTTAGAACCTCTAAAGTGTTCTATCCCCACCCTTTCTATAGAGCAGCCCCGGTTATACGAATAGTTACATAAATGAAATGTTATTCTACAGTTATTTATTCAAGGTTATTTATTCAAAGGTTATTTTCCTTTAATTAAAAGCAAGCCTTAAAATAAGATTAAAATAATATTGCCAGATAACATATTTGATCATAAATGCATCCATTCACATGGAGATCCTGAAACCAACTGATTATGGAGGCAATTGAACAAAATTGGCAACCACAGAAATTGTTATCTTCGGTAAGATCTATTAAATAAAACCAACCATTTTGAAAAACCCCAAAAACCTATCCCAAGTTCTCAATGACCTTGCCATGGAAGAGGTCTGTGGTAGTCAAAGACTTCCTGGACTTTCTGTTGTATTCTTATCTCCATAATGCTTTCAGTGCACTTATCTGGATCTCCACTATATGATCTATCACAAGAGAATCTTTTTCCATCAGCTCCCAGTTTTAGGAAAAGCAAACCTTCCAAAAGTACACACAGGTACAAACATACCTATGCAAATTTGCTTCCATGAAAACACCTCTATCCCACAAAAATGTCAAGTCCAAGCCTTCAAACATTTCCATTTCTTAGGCAATGAAGGATGACCTTTACCCTCCACATGTACTGAATATTATGCATGTTCACCCCCTGATCTTTTAGAGCTCTTCTGTACTATGAGGCATAAGAGACAAGGTTCTTAGGCTTAGATCAGGCTTTCAAATTGAGGTACTTGCAGAGACCAAAACACTCACCTATCTTTAGGCAACATGTGTTCTTAAAATAGCCAGGACTCACCATAGAAACATGACACAGGAGAAATGCTAGTCTCTAAATTAGTAAGAAGTAATATCTATTAAAAAATATATAATTGTATAAACATACATTAATAACACAGGCATCTTTTGGACGGCCATCTTCTGTAATGTAACAGCCAATAGGAAAACCAGGATTACAGAACCTCTGGCCATCTTCCACATCGTAACACCATGTCACAGGCATGTTGTCCACAATCCTGTAAATGACACAGTGACACTTCACCATTTTTCAAAATACACAGTGTAATGGAAACAAAACCAGATTAACATTAATCTACTTTGCTATATTCATTACTGGAATATTAACTACAAGAATAATACTACCCATGGAATTGCAACGATTGCCAATCCAAGTTGCAAACGAGTTACAAGCACGGAGCTCTTCAACTGAAACCACTCTATTCACTGCACTGCTTCATGAAGTCCCCATGCAAAAACAGCCCAAAGCCCAAAACTCACCCAGTCCAAATTTGTAACAATTTAACTTACTATTTTGTCTTTAAATAATGGCCAAAATAATAAATTTTGCTGAACCAGCTAAAATCGACAATATCAAGTTTAAGACGAAATAAGAATTTTTTTGAAAAGCCTACATCACAAATTATTAATTCTCCAGCTTCCTCATTGCAAAATACATTTTTCATAGCACTCTTAAAACTTTTTTTTGCTATTTAAGAGAATTCCTAATCATTAACCTCATTTATAGCTACCAAAGAGTATGCAACATTTTAATTAGATGATTTGCATTACCAAAAAATTGTAAGCCATCAAACAACTGTTTTTGTAAGAACTCCCGTGTCTGAGAGAGTCAGTGCCAGCTGGCTCCAACACAGACTCCCTGCTGGCCAAGGCCAAGCCCATAAGTGACCAGAGGCAACACCTCAGGGAAACAGATTAGGAAAGGGAGAAAAAACTCTTCACAACAGTATCTGCAGCTGGAGAGAGGAGTGGGAATATGTACAACTCCGCAGACACCGAGCTCAGTGGGGGAGGAGGGGGGACAAATGCTCCCGGCACAGAAGCAGAGATTCCCCAGCAGCCTGTGGTGCAGCCCATGGTGAGTCAGGCTGTCACCCTGCAGCCCATGGAGGACACAGGGCAGCAGATACCTGCTTGCAGCCCATGGAGGACCCCACATCACAGCAGGTGGATGTGCCCTGAAGAAGGCTGTGATCCCATGGGAGACCCACACTGGAACAGGCTCCTGGCAGGACCTGTGGCCCCACAGAAAGATGAGGCCACTCTGCAGCAGGTTTGCCAGGACCTGTGAGTCCATGGGAGACCCACACCTGGAGCAGCCTCTTCTTAAAGGACTGCATCCCATGGAAGGGACCCCCACTGGAGCAGTTCCTGAAGAGCTGCAGCCCATGGGAAGGACTTGCACTGGGGAAGTTCATTAAAAACTCTTCCATGGGAGCAACCCCACACTGGAGCAAGGGCAGTGTGTGGAGAGTCCTGATCCTGAGGAAGGAGTGGCAGAGACAACGTGTGATGAACTTGACTCAATCCCCATTCCCTGCACCCCTGTGCAAAGGGGTGGTGAAAACTGGAAGTGAAGTTGAGCCTGGGAAGAAGGGAGTGGTGGGGAGGAGGAGTTTTAAGCTTTGGGTTTATTTCCCAATACCCTTCTCTCATTTGGCTGCTAATAAATTAAACTGAATTCCTCAATTTGAGTCAGTTTTGCCCGTGACAGTAGTTGATGAGTGATCTCTCCCTACCCTTATCTTGACCTTTTTGCTATATTTTCCCTCCCCTGTCCACTTGAGGAGGGAAGTGCCAAAGCAGCTTTGGTGGGCACCTGGTGTCCAGCCAGACTCAACCCACCACACAGCTGGACTCAATGATTTTACAGATCTTCTCCAACTCAATCAATTCTGTGCTTGTATATTTGAAATTTTATCTCCATAATGTATGCTAGAGAGATTGCTTGCTTTTGTTAGTGTTTTCATCTCCTAATCAAAACAAGGCAACATTAACATATTGCAAGTAAGTTTGGTTTGGATAAAAGCTTTCCTTTGCATCCATGCAGCAAAGACATCCTGAGCTGCCTTCAAGCAGCAGCAGCAGCAATGCCAGAGCAAACTGGTAGTTTAAGAAGCAAATCATTTTTCACAGCTAATCTTCAAATTTAAAATTACTTGAAGAGATTATACATGTGGAGCAAATATGCTAATCAACAGTGTTCTTATGTGTCTCTCAAGAACATCTGGTGATGAACATTGTCAGCCAAGATATCAGTATAGCTGTTGAGTCCAATTCAGTATGTCAATTCCTAATCTTATTAAGTGGCTTTTGAAACCTGAGAAGTATTTTGCACCATCTGTGTTCCCCAGGAATTTCATGATAAATGGAAGCTGGATAATAACCCTCTACTGAATCCTCACTTATGCTACCTTGTTCATCCCTGTACAACATACCTCTGTACCATACTCCTGGAGCATGCATCATTAATCACAAAATCCAGCCACGGCCACGTTGTGAAGCTGTGGCTAAGGAGGACTAACAGACATAACCAAGGATTTTTCACTGGTCCCTAAGTTTTAGGGCAGTGGGCAGGAAAAAAAAACATAGTAAAAATGCAATTAAAAGAATTAAGAAATAACCTAAATTTCAAGGGAAGTTTTCACACTGAAAAACAGAATTACATCTTACTTAAACCTCTACTTGAATACACTAAGTATATTTTTTAAACAATTTAATCTACAGGGGAAAAAAACCCCAAACCAGTCTGAAGTACTTTTTTGTATGATTAATTTTACACAGCTCTGTTTCAGCTTCTATCAGCTTAAGTTATGGGTTTTCCTAAAAAAAATTACCTTCTTTCAAGTTTTGTAGTCTTAGGAAGCTATTTTTAAGTTGCACACCAAAACATACACAACCTTTTATAGCTGAGTCTTTTATGCCAGACTCACATGCATTACTGAAATTCAAAGTGGTGCAAATATTACAAACAAATGCAGTATTTAAGAGGAATATAATCAAGTCCAGCATGTTTGAAGCTCCACTTGTCTTAGCATTAGGCATATACACTTCAAATCCTTGCAAAAGTAGCTGTACATTTCAGAATTTCTTTATAGCCTCCTTGTTCACCTACCTGAACATATGACTCTTGCCTGTGAACCCTTCTGACATAACCTATCAAATTCCTACTACACTCATTTTCAAGAGGCTCCCAGAACATTTACATCAGTGAACTACAGTTTATCCCCACAAAGGGATATCCCATATCAGTTCTTGAGAGCAGTAGAAAATGCACTTGTTGCCTTTCCAGCTGTTTCAAAGTTAAAGGAATGGAACATAACATTACAGAAAAACAGTTAATGACAGTGGCAACATTCAACCTGCATTTTTACTAAAATACCCAAAAAGTTTCAATCCAAATAGATGAAGACCAACACATTTGTTCCCATAAAGCAGGAGGCCCATATGTGCAATTAGAGCATACCTATGAGTGACACCAATGAATGATGCTCATGCATTCCTTGCTAAGACATGCCTCAGGAACTCATGCCCAAGTTGTTCCTTCTATTCTTGCACCTGAAAGCTGCCGTTGGCAGAGCCTGCCAACACATCAAGCACTAAATAAACACTGATAACATGGCTGGGACATTTCCAGTGCCAAGACTGAGCCTGCTGATAAACATTTCACAGGTCTTGGATGTGGGTGCAGTGTTGGGAAACTGAATATCTGCCTGAGATTCAGCACACTCATTCAGCCTTGCCCCACCCTTAATGCCTATCTGACAAGGATTCAATGTCAGAGCTCAAACAGAGCTCCAAGGTCAATCAGATGGTTACAGAGAGGCCCAGAGAACAGGAAAGGACCAAGCCTTTATGCATTCCTCAAAATTATTTAATTAATTAGTTTTCATTGGCCACCTTTCCCTTCCACATCCATAGAAGAGAAACAAACATTGCATAAAAGAACTGTTGATCCTGTCTCCTGGACACAGCAATTCAAGGAGAGCGCAAGGGCTCTCAAGGAAAACAAAGATAACATAGCAAAAGAATAAAGGTCCTGTAAAACTTTTCTCAAGCTAAGGCAGGACTAACTTCCACATTTACAGGTGAAAAAAGCAGCAGTATTTTACAGTAAGCACAAAGCTTTGTGTTTAGAAACAGATTCATTTCCATTGCTCCTAATGCCTATCCTTCAAGTGAAGGAATTCTTTTTTATGAAGATGACAAACAATGTAAGATTTTATGCAAAAGCAGAAGGGGAAGAAATTAGGTGCACATATCTATTGTTCCATCTATTAACTTGCAAATACAAAAGTATAAGCTAAATTATCACCAACATACTACACTAACCAATCTATGAATTTTAGACTTACCAACTTACCAGTGATGTTGATAATTCAGTAGCATACTTTTTTTCAAAAAGTCTAATTTCTGTTTGTCTTCTGGCTTTGTGGTATCATATGTTTTTGTACAAACAGTTTTACAGGTCTCCTTCTTGTTGAATGTGAACTAAGAAAAATGAAAGACTCATGAGCAAAAAGGTTGTAACAAACTGTCTTATTTCAGTACATAACAATTTACCCCATACATTTCATTGCCTATACTATTATAATGAAAACACCTAACAAATTACTGAGACTAGGTACATCAACCCTCCAGAGGAGGTTTCTATACCGGTGTGTGCTCTAAACCCCTCCTGTGCTCACTGCAGGAGCCCTCCAGCAAGAGCTCCTTGTTTCTGACTAGCACACATTTTCTGCCATGATTTACCAGATAAGTGACCTGACCTCTCAGCAGCCATGCTGGCACAGGCAGCTTCAACTGGAAGCTTTCTCTCCAACTACCTCTGTAGAAGAGCATGTGAGAGCTTCAGTCAGCAGGACAGACCAGCAAGCTAACACCATTTATAATTCTTCCATTTTATGGCTGCAATATTTTCAGATCTGGTTCTAAGAAGCAGGAGTGCTGAGCAGCAATAATCAGGTTTTGTCAGATCCCAAAGAGAGAAGATAACCTGCACAGCACTTCAGGCTACAGCCCCACACTGCAGAGCACACAGTTACAATTAGGTTAAACTGACAGATTTTTATCGTGTGGAGTTTCAGATGCTGAAGCTTTCTCAGATAAAGCCTTTGTGAAAATCATCTTCAAGATTCTGATCTCCTTTGGTTACATTTGAATGCACACATTACTGTCAGAGAACCAACCCTGTAAGGAGATGGCTCTATCCTCTCCCCAAACAAGACTTGGCCAAGGTTTTCAGATGGACGCTTCTTTCCTTCTGCTTGACAAAAGTCAAACCTGAATTAGAGAAAAGATACAAAAATGAATAAAATATTCTAAGCTGCAAACAATGTTCCCAAATCAACATGTTAATCACAAGTGAAGGAGCTATACAGCTTTCCCTGTAGACAACAGTTTCTTCATTTAACCTGTGAAGTGTGAAAATCACTATCCTGGTTTGAGAATAAACCAGACGAAACAGAACCAACACTGGAGTCTCTTCATCAGCTATCTCAGAACAGTGTAGCATAAGTTTCTTTGAGTAATTAGAAGTTTCCTATTTGAACAGGGATTTTAGACAAGAATTAAATCTTCATCTAGAGTTTAATAATGACTCTCAGAAAAAGAGCATGCAGGCCAGATTCCAGAATTTGAGGGAAAATAAAAATAAAAAAGACAGAGACAGCTCCCTTACAACAAACACTATTAAACGGTTATTACAGTTTTATTCACCAACACATTTAATAGCACATCCTCCACATTTTTCCAATCTATTTTTAAATATATCACATTAATGTTCTTTAAAGTGTAGACATAACTGATGCTTAAGCTCTTCAATATTAACAGTATTTTGACTGTTAAACTATTTATAGCAAAATACTATTTATATCAAAAACTTTACATAGTTGTACCAGGCACTGATACATTTAGTGCACTCCTATGGATGTGTACAAAGAAAACATTTAACACCTCATTAAGATAATCGATGGGATGTTCGCACCTCATTACCACTTTAACTCATCTGGCAGAGGCTACTAAAGACAGAGGTAAGACTTTGATCTACAGTGACAACTGATGCAGTAAAGTAGCATATATTTATACACACAGATTTTAACCTTAAGTTACACTACAACAGCGATTCAACCTGCATGAGGGCCTATAAATCCACGCACTGAAGTTATGAGCAGAAAACTGAGACAAAGGAAGGAATGTAGGCATCCATCTGCTCACTGAAAATTCTGTATTTGTAAACTTATGTTAGCAAAATAAACAGCCATGCCTCAGTGGCACACTGCTGTAAGAAGAAATGCATAATACTATAAGGTAAATGAAATCAATCTTTTTGGAAGAATGGACAATTCAAAAGGCACAAATGGTACCATATACTTACGCAGTGTATTCGTAGGGGAGCACAGACTCCACTGAGTCAAGCCTGTTCACAAACAGCTCGATTCCAGACTGAAAGAGCAGAGATAATCAGCAGTTACATTTAAAACACTCCTTCAATTCCCATAGATATACAAAAATAGGTTTGTTAGAATAAGGTTAAGGAAAGCTGAAAATGTAAGATTTGTGTAATGGTACATCTTGATGTGTAATGCACTGTATCTGCTGGGAGCACAAGTAAGGCACTATCTAACCATCACAAAAGCAGTGACCACATGACAAAACCACTTAAAGGCTAACATAACCATTCCAATTACAAGACAGCAGGAAATCATGCACAAAAATAATATCATTAGCACAGCTGCCAGTGTTTGAGTTTAATGTACCAAGTTAAGTCATATTAGTTATCATCAGAACTTTTGTGAAATAAAAGTCTTAAAAGAACATGAAGGAAAGTGCAGATGAGACCAGACTTCTCCCTGGATTAAGGATAATTAAGGATGCTCCACAATTTTATATGTGTAGTAACTATAAACTGAACTATGATAATTTAAACAATGAATTCAGACTGATATATTTTAAGTTTAAACAGAATCTCTTTTCAAAGAGAAGGCAAGGATACCCACATTTACCTTCCTATAGAAGTTTTTCACTAACTCTATCAATTCGAGTAAGAACCTGAAATTCAGTTTACTGTGGTTTCAGACTAGTTTAATCAATATATATTAATTACAGATGGGCTACTCCACTTATATTGAAAGGGAAAGGACTCTCACCCTTCCCTCTTACTCTCAAAATCCCTTCCCTTATTCTAGTCTTGCAGTTTCAATAAAATTCAAATGTTTGCCGTCCACTGCTTTTGGCAGTTATCTGCTTGCACAGTAAACCAATCCAATGGGCTTCAGCAGCAAAAGACTTAAACAAAAATATTTTGAAGAACAGTTCTTAGTATCACAGCAGGCTGTCCTCACTTCAGCTGGGATAGAATTTACTTCTTAGTAGCTGGTACATTGCTGTGCTTTGTATTCAATGAGTGAATTATGTGATAACACACTCAAGTTTTAGTTATGGCTGGGTAGTGCTTACCCTGAGTCAAGGACTTTCAGTTTCCCATGCTCTCCCAGCACAGAGGTGCACAAAAAGCTGGAAGGAAACGTGGCCAGGAGAAGCTGACCTGAACTGGCCACGGGGCCACTCCATACCATGGAATGCCACACTCAGAATATAAACTGGGACAGTTGGCTGGAAGGGGATGATCACTGCTCTGAGATGGGCTGGGCATCCATCAGTGGGTGGTGACCAATTGTATTGTGCAACTTGTTTTGCCTGGATTTCATGCCCCCCTCTCTCTCTCTCCCTCCTTTTCATTAAAATTATTATTACTTTTTCTATCATTAGTAGTATGAGTATATTTTTTTTTCAATTAAACTGTTCTTATTTCAACCCACAAGTTACTTTTCCCCCCATTTCTCCTCACCATCTCACTGGGGTCAGCAGGGAACACACAGCTGTGTGGTTCTTAGTTGCCAGCTAGGGTTAAACCACAACACAAACTGAGCTGCCTTACTGTGTAATCAGACAAAAGCTGAAGGGCAAAACAAAGGTGAATGCCCTCAAGAGCAAACCCTCTCCCTTTCAACAGCAAGCCATCTATTTTCTTACCAACAGAGGAGCATTTCCTCCCTATGAAAATTCACTCAAGTTTAGCCAAACCAAGAAATTCTGGAGGAAAAGAAAAGCCAGAAATGTTCACATGTATCTGCAGCTCAGATACTTCAGCTGGGTACTGTGTTTTACTGATAACTTAGCTGTCCATGTGCAAGTCAGGATGCAGTCCTGGGAGCCACAGAAGTTCTGTGAGCTGTTAGCATGACCCACTAAGTGAAGACACACCTTCAGGCTCAGCTTTCCCCTGCCCTAAGCCATGCAGACCTGCTGCTCACCTCTGGATAGTCTATGCTTGTCATAACTCTGTAAGTCACTTCAACTCCCAAACACAATAGGAAACTAGACTGGCAAAAAGCTGGATAGTTTCCCTGCCATGTTAAGCTCAAAAGCACAACAAGTAACACAGCTGAGTCAATGCAGAGGACAGGAACACATTGCCCAGGGGAAGGCAGCAATGAAATCTCTCACTCCCAGCAGCAGCAGGGAATTAGACTGCCTGAGCTGACCACAGAACCGTGGCCTTAAATTAGCTACTTTCATCAGAGGAGATTTACTGAATGCTGCAATTTTTCCTAAGAATTATATGCATTACTGCAGATCAGCACATTTGATAAACCATTTCCATACAACACCAAACCCTTTTTGGAGCAATCAGGATTTTTTAAAACTGAGTAAGGATTCTTAATCTTTAGGCAAGAATTACTATTTCAGTCTGCATAGATCCCATTCCATTTCTGATGATTTTCTTACCAAAACCAGAAGAAGCAGCCAAACTGAGCTTGCCCAAGCAGATTAGCAGGAAACTTGGAGAAAGAGGGAAAGCCACAGGTCTCACTGCTCTTAGCTACATGCCCTGTAAACATCTCATCCCACCTCACCAACACAGGACAGGAGATCACAGGGATCATAACAGACAAATAGTAGGTACTGACATCTGGATCGAAATGCTCAGGCAGAGGAAAATGCACTGAGATTGCAATTAACAGTGATTACTGCAAGAAACCTGTCCAAGGAAGCTTCATTTTATCCACTTACATAAATATGATACAGCAATAATGCAATCATATATTGTTTCCCCTTACCAGGAACCAGAGCACATTCAGCTGCAGACTACATGGAGAGAATGAGATGTGAAGAGTGCTTTAGACTTCTCCATATGCCTGTGTCTAATGTGGAAATTGCTAAGAGGTGGCTAATTGCAGAAAGAATTTTTGCACTACTGCAGCTGTTGAGGTGTTCAGCTGCCTGCTGGTGGTACATTTAAATTACCCAAGTACCTCATGTCACATTTATTAAATGATAAAATCTCAGGAGAAGACAAACATTTTGTACGTGTTTTATGAATAAAAATGCAGAGACATCTGAGAAAGATCACCCCATAAGTGTCTCAAATTGGTTACAAAATACAGTAGGCTATGAGGTCCACCTGACTTAAAAAAAAATAAATCTGCCTTCTACAAGCTTAAAACAGGAATAATCCAAACATTGCCATGTTTTTCAGGGATGTTGTGAAAAAACACAAACTGCAGCTTGAAAGCTTAAGCCTGTATTTGAAAAAACCCCATTCCTTAAGAGGGTGGTGCAGCACTCTAACAGGTCACCCAGGGAGGAGATGGCACCTCCATGCTTGGATGCTTCCAAAGCCTGCTTAAACAAAGGTAGAGCTGAGTTGATCTAACGTTGACAAGAGTAGTGTTTTCTGTCCTCTCATGCTCCATACTCATGAGGCTGCAGTATGTGATGACCTGTTGAGGTCACTTCCAAACACCATTTCTGTGGTCCTGTAAAAGAATGTCCACAGGACATTTTACTACTACAGCTGAACAGCCTTCATTGTGTGCTTGGCTTATTGCCAGCTCAGCTGATTCAGGACAGCAGAAGGATAAGGTCAGCACATGGTATTTGCCAAAAGCATACAGTTTTAAGCAAGCTCTTATTCTGAAGAATTACGAACCAGTGTTTCATGCAAGGCAGAAGCTGAGAACTCAGAAAGTGCAAGACAGCCGCTTTCTACAGTAGTAAGACCATGGATCATAAAACTGATTAGTCTTGAACTTTCTCATTCAAGTATTAAAGCACAGTCTGCTGTAATTTCCATCCCAGCAGCAGGAAACAACTTCAAAAGGTGCCCCAAAGAAGCAAAGATGATTTTCATCAGAGGAGATTTGCATTAATGCTCCCCACCAATATCCTTACAAATGAGTTACTTGGTTACGCAAACTTTGCCTGTCCCTTCTGCAGACATGAAGGTAAGTTTAAGCTTCACTTGACACTCCGGGCCCTGGCAGCCCCTACACTTCAGGTTCCCGCAGTCAGGAAGACACAGCAAGGAAAATGTTACGGTATGTTTACTCTGCTATCTGCTCCAGTCACCAGCTGCTCGCTCCTGCCAAGAATCACACACACACCCCTCCGCATGACCTGTCACTGCCATCCGTACTTGCTGCAGCTTCCTGCAGGGATTTGAAAGGACCCAAGCGATAACCGGCCGGAGCTTCCTACTTTGCTACTTGCCCGACGTGGCCGTAAGTCACAGGATGAGCCGACAGCTCCCTCCTTCCCTCGCAGGGATCGTGGTCACTTCCCAGCCCGGCCGGAGCAGAGCCAGGCAAGCACCTCTCCATTCACCTGGGTCCTCTGTCTCATCAATTTCCGTTTCAAGGAGCAATGGTCATAAACCAAATTACAAGAAGTTTCACCTCCACACGAAGAGGAACTTCTTTACGCTGAGGGTGACAGAGCACTGGAACAGGCTGCCCAGAGGGTCACGGAGTCTCTCCCTCTGGAGACATTCACACGCGTTCCTGTGTCACCTACTCCCGGCGACCCTGCCTTGGCAGGGGGGTTGGACCGGGTGTCTCCAGAGGTCCCTTCCAACCCTAACAATTCTGTGAGCGACTTGAGCACAGCGGGAACGGAACCACGCTCGGAGCCCCGGCAGCCCCAGCCCCGGTACGGCACGGCCAGGCGGCTCCAAACCCTCCGGACAAACTCCACTACGCAGCCCCGCGGCAGGGGGACAACATCCAGGCCGCGCCGCGCCCGGGCGGCCTCGGGGGCCTCCCATCAGCGCCCCCCGGGCTCACCTTGCACTCAGGCTTCTCCTTGCCGGCCTCGCAGAAGTTGACGGGCGCCAGGCCCGGCAGGTAGAAGGAGGCGGCGGGCGCGGTGGCCGCCGCCAGCGCGGCAGCGATGAGGAGAAGCGGCCGCAGAGCCATGTCCGGCCGGGGGAGCGCGGGGCGGGGGCCGGCGGGGCCGGGGTCGCTGGGCGGCAGCGGGGCCGCGGCTCCGTCTCTCGCCCCCCGCGCGCGCCCTGACGCGGCAGCGCCGCTTCCGGCTCCCCCCTCGCGCGCGCGCGCGACACGTCGTCACCCGCCGCGCGCGGGGCCGCCAGACCGAGAGCCGAGGGGGGGGCGGGGCCTGCGCGCGCGTTCGCTTCCGGGGTGTCTCGCGCCCCCGTTGCCACGGCAGCGCGGCCCCGCCCGCCCCGAGCGGCTCGCGCGGCGGGGGGGGCAGGAGGGCGTGAGGGGAGCCCGGCGAACGGGCAGCGCGGTGAGCGCGTCCTGCTCCTCAGGTCTGGGCTCCTCCGTGCGAGAGAGACCGGAGCTCCTGGAGTGGGTCCAGCGCGGGGTGAGACAAAGATGATCCGGGAGCTGGAACATCTCCCCTCTTACCAGGACAGGGTAAGAGGGCTGGGCCTGCTCAGCCCCGGGAGGAGACGGCTGGGACGGGAGCTCATCCATCAGTGTCGAAGGGAGGGTCCCCAAGGATGGAGCCAGGCCGTGCTCGGTGGTGCCGAGCAATAGAAAGAGAGGAATCCGGCAGAGACCGGTGCACGGGAAGTTCCACCTGAACGTGAGGATGAACTTCTGTACTGTCCGAGTGACCGAGCACGGGAACAGCCTGCCCGGAGAGGCTGCGGAGTCTCCCTCACTGGAGATACCCGAGAACTGCCCGGACACAATCCTGTGCCGTGTGCTCTGGGGTGACCCTGCCTGAGCAGGGAGGTTGGACCAGATTTCTCACTGTGGTCCCTTGCAGCCTGTCCCATTCAGCGATTGTGTGCATGTCCACAGGTGATAGACAGGAATGGTGCCCAGCTGCCATTTGGGACCCCCGCACCTGGGCAGTCAATCCCAGCAAAGCCTGGATCCGCTGATCCCAGTCAGGCTGCACTGCCTTCATGCCTGTCCTGCAGTCCTTGCTTTTTTAAAAATACATTTTGTCTTTTTTAAAATAAATTTTGTATTCTAAAAAATAAATTATAATTTTTTAAAAAAATAAATTTTGACTGGGTTTTTTTTTTATTTTTTGTGTTTTTTCTTAATTCTCAAGGGTTTCACTGGGAAGAGGGTCCTGCCATGCCCAGCCCCTGTTACCAGCACCCTTGAATTCCCAATCATTTTCCGTTCAAGAGTTCCTAAGTGAGGAAGGGGTTATTAGAATATAAAGTTAATTTCAAAGCACTGAAACAAAACAGGAGCTTCTTCTAGATGCAGCAGAATATGGTTGTTATTGGCAAGGAGGGGGGTGAGGCATTTTTTTTAAACAAAAATATGAAAAATTGTATGCAAAATACAATCTCTTTAAAATAGAAAATCCAGTCTTTATTCCTCACTTCTCCTCCCATGGGCTCTTGTGGGGAATTATTGACTGACACAGCTAGGCAGGGAGCAATCACCCCTGAAGGCTGAGTGGCCTCCAGACTCAGGTGTCCTGTGACCATGGCATGACACTGCCCATACCAGACTCAGGGCAAACATCATCCCTGTCTGGTTTTGGTCTTTTTAATTCTTGTGGGTTTTGGGTTTTTTGATTTTCATGGGTGGACAACTCTTCACGGTTTTCAAACCGAATTCTTGGGGTGAGGCATACTGCTGGCTGAGTGGAGCTGGGGAAGAGGAGCAGACAGACAGACAGATCTTAGCTGTGGTGGCTGTCCATTGCAGCTGAGCATTCAGAACAATCTCTGTCCTCATTCTCTCCACGTCATCAATGGCTGCTGTCATATAGCACTGGTAAAAATCTACTGGAAAAAATCCCCTCCAGAAAACCCCCAGCCTATAAGAGAGGCAGACATAAAAAGTCTGTTTTGATAATGTAGGAGAGGACATTGCTCAGATTATAATTTTACCTTTCCCTGCTTCCTAAAGCATTCCATCCACTTGGATTTGTGCAGCTTCAGAAGCTCCAAACAACACCCTCTCATGAAAAACTATTTTTGTAAATGCTGCAGCATTTCCACTAATTGCCTCGGTTCTCACAACACCTTTTATTTCATTTCTGCTGTTCATTACAGGGCTCAGGGCTCACACCTGTTGATCACACAGTCCTGCAGTAGCCAAAGTGTCTAGGGCAGGGTGAAGCTTCAGGTGGGTCAATTCACACAGCATCTGACCAAATACGGGATTGAGCATCTGAGCACCTAGATCACCGAACATAGTCCTTAGGCAAGGTTATTTTAATAAATGTGTATGAATTTTCAACATTACACAAGCCATTCTTCAAGTTTGAGATGAATGCATGGTAATTTATAGCATATACATTAGATATTTTTGAACTCTCCCTATATTTAAAATATAAGCTGTTCATCTACCTTTCTCATTCCAATTCCTACTTGTCTCATCCTGCAGATATCCTAAGAGCACAATTATAAGATCAAGCCTTATGACAAGCACAGCTGGAGAAGAAATCCCAGTTGCCTCTTTTTATTTAAAATTACTCATGGTTAGGATAATCAGGTTGTAAATGACCCAAGTTCAGTTGCCTTTCTGCCACAAGGGAGTTCAAATGTATCTCCCATTTCCCAGGTTAATATTCCAAGCAAATTACTTTTGTGGGCCTAATTCCATTCCTTTGCATGAGAGAATATTTAAAAGCCTTTGCCCATCTAACCCTCCTCTTCCTTGAGAACGCTCCAAAAGCTGCGCCAGGAGTAGGAGTTGCCGTGTGTGCATCGATGCTTTGTGAGCTGCTTCAGTCTTCCCCCTTGCTCTGCCTTCGTGACTGCACAACCTGCTGACTCAGAGCTATTTTAAGGAGTGCTCTGCCAGTCAGTCCAGACAGCATTTCTGTGCATGTGGAGCCATATGCTGTGCTCCTCGCTGCTCTGCAAAGGTGATGTGGAAAAACTGTTTGTAGGCTGTGTTATTTTGGAGCAGTTATAACCATGGGTTACAATCCATGGTCATCGTCCTTGAGATCCAGTTTGAAGCTGGGCAAAACCCCTCCTCTCTAATTTATTGAGAAATTCAGTGGGAACTTGCTTGATCATTTCTCTTCTTGAATTTCCCTGCTATGAGTCTTATAGCCATAGGTTACAGTTCAGGGGGTGTGATTTTAGTACTGGCAGAACAAGTATCATGGGTTTTATCATAAGAAATTTCAAGGTTATGCAAGACTGTGAAGTAAAATGCAGGAAAAAATACTGTGACACTAATGAACCAACATAAGCCAATGAAAAAGGACATTCTGTGTTTTTTCCTGATAAATTATTGTCATAAGAAAATACAGAGATAAGAATATAGAGCAGTTGGAAACTTCTGAGGAAGTGTCACTCCTTGAAAAGGCATTTATATGCCTTTTCTTTTTATCAGAAAGTGCTGTGAATAACTTTTGCTATTCTTGTGGTGGTTCTCACATTTTGCTTCTCGTGTCTGGGCTCCAAGGGGTGCCTTCTTCCTCTGAGAATTCACAGTTCCCACAGTTCATCTCTTCATTTCAGAAACAAAGTCCCAGAAGTCACTCTTATCCTATAGCTCAGTGTCTAATGCCTTCTCCTAGAGTATTCCCTGCTTTGCCTGAGCACCTTAGCAGCCCAGCTGTGGGGCTGTCCCACTTGCTGTGGAACAGACAAATAATCCTTGCTCTGGCAGATAAAAGCACACAGTTGTTTTTCCCACTACAGGTTACAGTTCTGTTCAAATTTGAGTACCAGAAGAACAAAATAATGTTCTGTTGCATAACTTTTAGGGTGCTAACTGGATACAACTAATGTCCATTTTGCTGCTAATTGTCATTTCAACTTTTTTTAAAAATATAAACGATCTATTTGCAGTCTGGAACCTGAAACAACTAAAATACAGAGCTTTGTAAATAAGTGCATTCTTTTTCTCTCCTGAGGCAACCAACACTAACAATGACAAATTTCATATTTGTTGTTCATATTTGGGGGGAAATGCCCTGCTGTTAAGTAGCTCCTACACTGGTAGGTTGGCCATTTTTCTATAAAATGAGAAGTAATGGTGAAGACTTCATCAGGGCTTGGTGGCACGCAAGGTGTGCCTCTCCTTCAGGCCCAAGTAGAGGCACAGTCTCTCTGGGAAAATGTGTCCTTTCATACAGAAGCCACATCATTACCTAAGTAAACAAGGCAGTGTTCTGAGTAGTCACAAGGTGTGTAGAAACTCATCTGGTTGTGCCATTGCAGATTTTGTTTAGTTTTTAATGACTTGCAAGTCTGGTTTCCTAGCACCTTTTTTTTTAAATCTTTGTTCAGTCATTAGATTCAGCACTTCCTGTGATTTTATGACCAACTTCAGATTAATATTTAACATAAATCCTTTCAGGCTTTTGGTATGCTGTGGAGGCCTATGTCCTTTTTCCCTTTGGAAAAAGGGAAAGGCACTAGAAACATGCAATTATTCCAATGCCTGACTTTCCAAGTTAAAAAAATAAGAGACTGATTGAATAAAATAGGCAAAGAAGGGCTCTTTCAGGTAAAAACAGCTAATGGGTTACATCTAAAAAGAAAATGCTGAGACAATTACAGTATATTTAAAGCTAAATTCAGCTTTTAATATACTGTATTTGCCTGAATTTAATATTCAGCAATTGCCTGAACAATGGGGCAGAGCCTTTGGAGAAATGAGTGTGCCAGGAGGGCCGTGGTGATGCCTTGCAGCAAGCACAAGCCAGACTCCCCCGGGAGGGAGAGGGGACACGTGGCACCAGCCAGAGCAGCCTGCACACTCTGGGCCTTGGGAGCAGCCACATTTATGACTTGTTTCAGCTGTTGCTGTTGGTAAGGTTTCTCTGAGGTCCCTGGTGAGTTTTAAACCGGCACAAAAGGAAGTGTGGGAAGATTGCTGCCTGCCTGGCTCGCATCTCCCATGTCTGGACCAGGTCTGGTTCAGGCTGCACCAATTAGTGTGTAAAAATATAATGCTGTTAACATCAGTAAGAATTACAGAGACTGCAAAGAAACAAACTCTTATACCCTTGATATGTTTGTGGATAAAAAAAA